GGACTGAATGTTGACTACGGTTTTCCCCAGCTCAAACAGTCTAGGAATCGAATATAGAAGAAAAAGCCTGAACTAGAGCACCAAACTACAAGCTAGAGGGGTCTGGATTCTAGGCCTTCTCCATTAACCTGCTATGTGCCCTTGGATAAGTCACAGGAAAAATTTAAAATATCCAATACTCATTGAGCACTCTCCAACTAACAGGCAATACGCAGCACAAACACTGTCACATCAATTCCTCATAAGAGCTTTACAAACACATCTCAATATCATGTCCATTATGAACAGGAGGAAACTGAGTCTTTGAAAGGTGACATAGTTTGCCCAGTCAGCAAGTGGAAAGGTTAAACTTGAATCCATGCAATTAAATGCCAGAATCTAAACTCTTTTTATTTATTGCTAACTGTGATGCTGCCCTGTGCCTTTACGAAAGACATACCTCCCAGTGTGACCTCAGAAGAATGCTGGGAGACTGCATGCAGGCATGCATATATACATGGTCTCTGAAAAATACGAAGTGTTTCAAAGACTAAGAATGTGATACTGTTTTCTATCTCATCTCCGCTTCTGAGGAGGAAGCAGAAAAGGAGATGAGAGCTGACGAGAGGCCTGGGCTCCTGGGCCCTGCTGTGGCTATTCCTGGGGCCCAGTGGCACTTCTGTCTCCCACCGGGAATGCTTAACCAACTCTTCCCATAATCTATGAGCCGGAACCTGTCTTTGGAGCAAGCTACTTTGAGCGGCAACTGCAACCAAAAGAGTCCCAACAAGGGCAGTGTGTCCTGTTGACAGCCAAGAGCTGTGCTGGACAGAATCAACCTGCTAACATACAATTGTTTAAAAAAGAGATGACGAGGAGGAGCAGCAGGTGAGAAACATTGATGGATGCTGACCTTGTGCCAGGCACTGTGTTGAGGCCTCTACTTGCACTGTCTCATTTGATCCTGACAGCCACACTATGCATTGGGTACCATATTTATCCCCATTTTATGGATGAGAAAGTTGAGACTCAAGACACTCAAAGGAGCCTTCCCAAAGTCTCACAATTAGTTTAGTGGGCAGCATTGCTAACTTCTAATAGCCCTTCCATCCCAAGTGACGAATCAAAGCCGATGAGTGTACAGCAGCCCCCTGGTGCGTGTTACTAGACCAGGAATGGGAGCAAGTCCTACACTGGCCCAGCCAGACTGCAGAGGAGGACTTATTTTCCATGGCTGCATTTTCTGCTTCTCCTGAGGGGAACCAGACACAGAAGGAAGCTGATACTAAATGTAAGAGGAAGCTGACGAGTTAAAATCGGCAAAATGGTAGAGTTGTCAGTTAAAATACAGAATGTCCAGCTAAATTTGAATTTCAGATAAACAATGAATAATAATTTAACATAAGCCTATCCCCAAAATCACATAGAACACACTTTTGTACTTAAAAAGAGTACAATTTTCTACATTCCTATCTGAAATTCAAATGTACCGGGTGCCCTGTATTTTTACTTGCTAAATTTGGCACAGTGGAGAGAATGAGTACATGACAACTTCATGAAGCCATAAACCATCAAGTACTTAAAGCCCACACTACCTCTGAACTTCTGGCTAGGTGAGGTAATTAATTCGTTTATTGTTCAAGCAGTTTAGAATTTCTGTCACTTGCACCCCGAAGCATCCTATCTCATGCAGCAGTCACTGGTTCCAACCCAAGCAGGAAGGTGGTAGAGCCCAAGCTCCCACCACCACACTCAGTCCTAAAGGGACAGAAACTTAATGCCATATGCAAAGCTACAAAGCCAACGTTTAGGATGTTGAACTTATATTTTTAGAGCTGTAAGAATGCAGCTTAACAGACTTACTGGGATTCATCAGATTCTCTTCAGTTGATATAAATTTTTTATTATAAAGTTATGGAATATGAATTCCCCTAAAACTATAAAACTCCTTCATGAATACTAACAAACTCTAAAATAGCAGCAAAGGTGCTGCTTATAACCACCGAAACCTTAAAACCCAAAACACCTGGCAATTCAGGATTAAGAACTCCAATTTTTAAGCATTAAAGATAAATTTCTACATTTTGTTTAGGAAAAAAAGTCAATGAGCATCACAGAAAAATGTGACTTTAGATCAAACCTGGAGCATTATAAAATAATCCGTAAGATAGAGAGGGAGTGTATAAGTAAGCACACTGAATGAATGAATGAATGAACAAATGAATGGGTAACCGTAGGACTGAGCTGATCTCTGTGTGTGTGTTGGGCATACTGTTCACCAGCATAAAAAAGTTTCAAGGTAATGACTCCACAGAATCAAGGAATATACATGTGGTGCTGGTACACCATCAATGAGCAGAAGCGGGATGCTGGGTTAGTCGTGACAGCTGGGAAGAGAGCAAATCATTCCTAGGTTGCTATCCGCATCCACCCATTTCAAAGTCCTGCTCAGGCACAGAGGCTTCCCTATAATGGGAAACACACAGCATTAACATCACCATGATCTGGACTCCCTTCAAGTCCATAAAAAGTCGCCATTTAGGGCATGTCGGTACAGAACAACTATAAAGTTAAGGAAAGTTCTAACAAAAGTATATATGAAAATAGCTTGCTCTCTCATTCTCTCTCTCTCTTTCTCATAAATACATGTATAAGAAAGAGTGACTCAGTGGTTCCAACCCAAGCAGAAAGCCTGCAGAGTCCAAGCTCCCACCACCACACTCCCAATCCTAAAGGGATAGAAACTTAATGCAATTTGAAATGCTACAAAGCCAATGTGTAGGTCACTGAACTTGCGTTTTTAGTGTTGTAAGAATGCAGCTTAACAGACTCACTGGAATTCATCAGGTTCTCCTTAGTCAATGTAAATTTTTAAATTATAAAGCCACAGAACATATCTATCTATGAGAGAGAGAGACCAAGTTAATTTATAAATTTAACAAAACCCCTATCAAAATACCAGTAGGATTTGTGTGGGAAGGATCAGAGGAGAACTTGATAAAATGTTTCTAGGTTTTATCTGAGAAAAGTAACAAATAAGAAACCTTTAAAAAGGAAGAGCAAAGCGAAGAAGGTTAGCCCAAAAAGATATTAGAAGTATTATAAAGCAAAACAATAAGAATAATGTGGTAGAACCACAGGACTTTTCAGGGAGATCAAAGGAACAGAACATAGAGTTAAGAAGAAGATCCACATATATATAAGGATTTGATGATAAAAATGTGCATCTAAAACCATTGGTTTGGTCAATAAACAGTGTTGGCCACGGTGCAGGAGAAAAGAAAGTAAAGGCATGTGAATTTTAATGGAAGATGGCTTTTAAGAGTGTGAAGTGGCAGAACCTAAACAGAACAGTATGCACCCACAGAATGGCATGCACCCACCAAATATTATATATCTACCAAATGGTATACACCTGCTAAACATTCTGTGCCCACAGAATGGCATTTACCCACCAAATGGTATCACCCACTGAATGTTATGCACCCACAGAACGGTATGCAACTACCAAATGGTATGCACCCACAGAAGAGCATGTACCCACTGAATGACATGCACCCACTGAATGGTATGCACCTACTTGACCATATGCATCCACTGAACAGTATGCACCCACAGAACGATATGCACCTGCAGAATGGTATACACCCACTGAATGGTATGCACCTGCAGAATGGTATGCACCCACTGAATGGTACGCACCTACTGGACCATATGCATCTACTGAACAGTATAGACCCACAGAACAGTATGCATCCACAGAATGGTATGCACCCACTGAACGGTATGCACCTGCAGAATGGTATGTACCCACAGAACAGTGTGACCCACTGAATGGTATGCACCCTCAGAATGGTACACACCCACTGAACAGTATGCATCCACCAAATGGTATTCACCCACAAAACAGCACGCACCCACCAAATGGTATGTACCCACAGAACAGCAGGCACCCACAGAATGGTATGCACCCACAGATTGGTATGTACCCACAGAATGGTATGTACCCACAGAATGGTATGCACCCACAGAATGGTATGTACCCACAGAATGGTATGCACCCACACAACAGTATGCACTCACCAAATGGTATGCACCCATAGAAGAGTATACAGCCATAGAATGATATGCACCTACCAAGTGGTATATGTCCACCGAATGGTATGCACCCACTGAACAGTATGCACCCACCAAATGGTATTCACCCACAGAACAGCATGCACCCACCAAATGGTCTGCACCCACAGAACAGCATGCACCCACCAAATGGTCTGCACCCACAGAACAGCTTGCACTCACAGAATGGGATGCACCCACCGAATGGTATGTGCCCACTGAACAGTATGCATCCACAGAACGGTCTGTACCCACAGAATGTTATGCACCCACGGAACACTATGCACCCACCAAATGGTATGCACCCATAGAAGAGTATATAGCCACAGAATGATACGCACCTACCAAGTTGTATGTGTCCACTGAATGGTATGCACCCACTGAACAGTATGTATCCACTGAACAGTATGTATCCACTGAACAGTATGTACCCACTGAAGAGTACGCATCCAGCAAATGGTATGCACCCATAGAAGAGTATATAGCCACACAATGATATGCACCTACAAGTGGTACGTGTCCACTGAATGGTATGCACCCACTGAACAGTATGTATCCACTGAACAGTATGCACCCACCAAGTGGAATATGCCCACAGCATGTACCCACTGAACAGTAGGTAGCTCAAGTCCTGTAACCATGTGCCCTCAACTCTATTTCCCATCAGGATTCCCAACAAGAAGGGGAATGCAGTCAACTGGTGTACCTCCCCCATCCAGACTTCACTGGGTTTCCTTCATTCCACTCCCAATTTCTCTTTGCAGTTGGAATCTCTACCCACTCCTCCCAATAACAGAAAGAATTCCAGGAAATTAAAGGAAGTTCTTTACATTATGACATTCCCTGATCCTCCCAATTGCTGCAAGTTATCAGTAAAACAATCTGAGATCAGAAATAAGTCTTACCTGTTTCCTTTTTTCAGGAGGAAGTGATGGATCTCCATCCTACAAAGAAACACATGCTACATTTTACTCTGTAAAAAAATATAGATGTACTTAGAAACAAGAAGTTGAACTAAATTATGAACCTAAATGTAGACTCTCCCCACCCTCCCCACCCTGCAGCCAGTAATGTGCTGAAGCAAGCTCAAATATACTTTAAAAAAATAACTACAAACTGAACCAGAGTTATTTTGGAAAAACCTCTAGGGAATCAGTTCCCATTAGGACCAAATCTATATATTTTCTAAAATTATTTGAATAAAAAAACTGGATTTGTCAAAATTATTTTTGATCAGAGCCTAAACTGAAATAATATTTCATTTGGTTTGAGTTCCTCTTTTAAATAGTTAGAACCAAAGAACAGTGATGGGGACGCACATACACACATAGAGAGAGAGGAAAAGAGAGAGAAAGAGAGAGAGAGAGTTTTGTCTACGGGCAGAACAATCAATGCTGGGAGGGACAGTATTTGCTCAAAGTTAAGAAGACATTGAGAACTCCTAGCCCTATTAGATTTTTTTGTTTTTTTTGGCTTTAAAAGGATTCAGGCCGGGTGTGGTGGCTCACACCTGTAATCTCAGCACTTTGGGGGGCCAAGGTGGGCAGATCACCTGAGGTCAGGAGTTCGAGACCAGCTGGGCTAACATGCTGAAACACGTCTCTACTAAAAAATAAATATAAAAATTAGCCAGACATGGTGGCGGGTGCCTGTAATCCCAGCTACTAGGGAAGTTGAGGCAGGAGAATTGCTTGAACCCAGGAGGCAGAGGTTGCAGCGAGCAGAGATTACACCACTACACTCTAGCCTGGGCAACAGAGTGAGACTCTGTCTCCGAAAAAAAAAAAAAAAAGGATTCAATTCCTCTCCCTTTTGTGCCTTATCAGGGAAGATGAATATCTCAGGTGAATAAGCGAATGCTCCTTAAATGAGCACTCTAATATCTGATGCTGTCCACATATAAGTCAACATGATTTTAACCTGAGGAATCTATTCTATTCTATTTCTACTCCAGGGCTGTTTAATAATGCCAGCGCAGATAGTTAAATGTCAGTAATAGTGTCCCACTTAAAAAAGAGATTGCCTCAAAAGCAGCAAGAATGAAAACTAGTATTATGCAGCTGGCATTCTCCATTTCAGTATCATTTGCATCTTAAAAGTTTTGCCATATAAAAACCTAGAGGAAATAAAAAAGCCCAGGATACGAGAAGTTACAAAAAGTATGGCTATGTCCATACTGTGTATTACCATGCAACTGTTTAAAAGACTGAGTTAAAGGCCAGGCGCAGTGGCTCACGCCTGTAATCCTAGCACTTTGGGAGGGCGAGGCGGGCAGATCACGAGGTCAGGAGATCCAGACCATCCTGGCTAACACGGTGTCTCTACTAAAAATACAAATTTAGCCGAGCATGGTGGCAGGCACCTGTAGTCCCAGCTACTCGGGAGGCTGAGACAAAAGAACAGCATGAACCCGGGAAGCGGAGCTTGCAGTGAGCGGACATCGCACCACTCTACTCCAGCCTGGGTGACAGAGCGAGACTCCGTCTCAAAAAAAAAAGACTGAGTTAAATCTGTATGCCTAGAAATCTGGATGATTCAAATCTGGATGAGTTAGATCTGTAGGCCTAGAAAGATGTCCAAAATAAAGTGCTGAGGGAAAACAGCATGTTTTATTATTTTTAAAAATAAATTTGGAATTTATTTTATTTCTCCATGAATTTTTTTCTTTTTTTTTTTTTGAGAACAGTTCTCACTATGTTGCTCAGCTTGGCCTCAAACTCCTGGGCTCAAGCAATCCTCTCATCTCAGCCTCTCAAAGTAGTTGGGATTACAGGTGTGTCACTGCATCTGGCCTAATATAACTCTCTGGAAGGATGGCAAGGCTCTCTATATACACTGCCCAATACAGCAGCCATCAGTCACCTGAGCCCATGAAATGTGACATTGAGACTGAGGAATGGAGTCTCTTATTTTATTTAATTCTAATTAATTTAAAACTAAGTAGCCACCTGTAGCTAGTGGCCTCTGTATTACTGTAGACTTATGAATCCTCTTTTTGAAGAACTCTATATAATCAAATTAACAAATAAACAGCCACACATACAGTAGTCCCCACTTGTCCTCAGTTTCAGGTACCTGAGGTCAACCATGGTCCAAACATATTAAATGGAAAATTTCAAAAATAAATAATTTGTAAATTTTAAATTGCATGCTGTTCTGAGTCGTGTGGTGAAATCTTGCACCATTCCCCTCCATCCCACCTAGGATGTGAATCACCCCTTCATCCAGGGTATCCACGATGTCTATGTGGCCCACTCGCTAGTCACTTAGGAGCTGATTTGGCTATCAGATTAAAAAAACAACAGCATATGTAGGGTTTCATACTATCTGTGGTTTCAGGCATCCACTGAGGGTCTTGAAACATGCCTCCCTTGGATAAGTTGGGGAGCCTACTGCAAACACACACGTATATGTTCACAGATGCCAGAGCAAGAAGCATATACATACACACATACACACACACACACACACAGAGAGAGAGAGAGAGAGATTAACTTGTGAGTGGGACTGGGTTGTGGAGGAAATAGAGGTGGTGACTTTTACTTCTAAATTCTTCCACTTTGAACTGTTTACATTTAACCATTTCTAAAGAAACAGCATGTGAAAATCTCTTTATATCTTAATTCAGGGAACAGGAAAGTGGCCGAACAGGGCAGCCTAACACTTACGATCATCTCTCGGTACTTCTTCTTCAGTGACTGGTGGCGCTCCCGGAGCTGATTGGCCATGAGTTTGTACTGGTCTCTTTCCTGTTGACAGGTGTCCAGCTCCTTGGAGAGGATCAGCAGGGCTTCCTTCTTGCTCTCCAGCTTCCTCTTACACACCAGGTACTACAAAGCAAAAAATCCAGGCAACAGGTTAAAAACATCCATGGGCCTCCATTTAACACACAACGTACCTCACACACCCTGTGGAGAATTTTTGCCATTCTCATTTTTAGAGCTCATATGCCCAGAGAGATATTTTTCAGCAAATGACATGTACGTAAAGGCTTCGACAGTGCTAACATACAGTGCCCTCACGACAGAACCTAAACCTTGGACAGTAAGTCAAAAACCAGAACGTTTCAAAAAGTTGCATAAACGGGTAAACAGGTAGACAACTGGACTCCAATTTTGTTTATAAAGGATTTATATATCCAGGTAAGATTATGTACAATTTTATTAAGATATTTAATACAACTTTTATTAAAAAGTTACTAACGATAATCTCTTGGTAGTCAAATTATTTACCCAGGTTTTAAAACTTTTCTTGATGCTTTTCTGTGTTTTCCAAGTTTCCAGAGTAAACCTATATGGTTTTTTGTTTGTTTGCTTGTTTGTTTGTTTTTTGAGATGGAGTCTTGCTCTGTCATCCAGGCTGGAGTGCAGTGACATGATCTCGGCTTACTGCAACCTCCACCTCCTGGGTTCAAGCAATTCTCCCACCTCAGCCTCCCAAGTAGCTGGGACCACAGATGCGTACCACCATGCCCGGCTAATTTTTGTATTTTTAGTAGAGACAGCCAGGCTCTGTTGGCCAGGTTGGTCTTGAATTCCTAACCTCAGATGATCTGCCCACCTTGGCCTTACAAAATACTGGGATTACAGGCGTGAGCCACCACGCCTGGTCCATATAGTTTTTCTTGTAAAAAAAAAAAAAAAAAAGCCCAAAAAAGTTAGTAAAAATAATTGAATTGAACCATAAATCATTGCAATAGATTGCAACTGCCCACCAAACCCATCAGCTATTTTCTCACTTGCAAATTTGTCCACTAACATGGCCCTGATGTGTTTAACTTTTCCTGTGATTCAAATGCAGGCACTCCCCATCCAGAGACCAATCTTAGGAGCTAAGCATTTTAGCTACATTTTGAATTCCCCCAAAACAGTTGAGTACACCTGGTTGGAACTCTTGCCTCAGAGTGATGTGGCATCCTTCCTTCTGCTCACTCTCCTGCACCGCAAGCCACCCTCACCTAAGTCTGACCCACCATACTGGCCAGCGTGGGCCCGAATAGGACACTTCACTTTTTATTGGATATATTGCACCGTCTGGTATTATTCACATATGTGAAATGTGGCACTAAATACCTTTTGAATTTGCCCCATAAAAGACCAAATTCAGAGCATTCATGAAAACAATTTATAGTTTCATTATACACTCTGACATGAGTACTTTGTCATTATAGACGCTCACACAAAGCGGAGCGAGAATCAGCACTCCCATTCCACTAGAGTCAATGCTCTTTTATGGACAAAAAGCATTACTCATATATAGTGCTTGCTCGGAACTGACTTTGTTAAGTTCAATTTCAAATAAATGAAAGAGGGAAAAAGAGAGTTTTGTACATTTGCACAATTTTTTTTTCCTTTAAAAAAAAAGAGTAATTGCTTAGCTTCAAAAACAAAGGGGAAAGAAAAGGCAATTCTGAGACGGATTTGAGTTCTAAAAAAGGACACTTCCACCTTGGATGAATTTTATTCCTGGCAGTAATGAGGTTGGAATCCTGCCTTAAAATGTCCTGGATTTTGAGACGCTGACATCGTCTTCATGGAGGCAAAATGGTTCTATTGTCACAGTGATTTCTCAAGAGTAAAATCCCCAATGAGTAAATATCAGAGGAGAGTGGCTCAGAAACCCAAACTGCAGTGTCCTCAGGGATGTATTGAGATTTCACAGGAAAAATACCATTTACACACAATTTAACACATCTGCCCTTGTTCCTCCAGTTCTTTTCCCGTAATCAGCACCCTTGGTTGTCAACACTGCGAGTATCGGTGACCCAAAGACAGTCACCTTTATCCCTTCAATTTATCAGATTCAAACCTGAGGCCCCAGAGACCCTCCTGCCTTCCAATTTAGGGGACAAAAATCCTCATGCAAGGAGACATTGGAAGCTGCAGTAGGTAAGCTCCGTGGGAACACCCCGCCTGTTGAAGGGTAATAGGTAAGGGCCACTGCTGACTGTCAAAGTGGAAATTCAAGTTCCTTGACCTTGAACAGTCTCTGTTAGGGTCTGAGAGAAAAGCTATTTCACTCACAAAGCACGGTCCAGATAAGGCCATGAAAGCCGAGAAGGGTAGTAAAATGCCTCCCTTGCTTCTGGGTCTGAGATGCCTGGTAGAAAACAGGCACAGAGGCCTCTGCTGAGACCCATTGGCCTGGGATTTGAAAAGCAAAAGTTCTGTAGGTCCCAACAATTTTACTCCATGTTATTTATTTTTATCAGCAGGACAAACCTGAGGCTGAAGCCTCATTTGTAAAGTAGCTCGAAGCAGAGCTCTGGCTGAAGGTGAGACACCTCCCCTGTAGTTCTGCCGCACGCTGGCATGACAGTCTTTGGCATCTATAAGGAACCCTAGACTCTCTGCCAGGCACGGTGGCTCACACCTGTAATCCCAGCACTTTAGGAGGCCGAGGTGGACAGAATACCTGAGGGCAGGAGCTCAAGACCAGCCTGGCCAAGACGGCGAAACCCCCTCTCTACTGAAAATACAAAATTAGCCGAGTGTGGTAGCCGGTGCCTGTAGTCCCAGGCTACTCAGGAGGCTGAGGCAGGAGAATCACTTGAACCCGGGAGGCAGAGATTGCAGTGAGCCGAGATCACACCATTGCACTCCCGCTGGGCAAAAAGAGTGAAATTCTGTCTCAAAAAAAAAAGAAATTAGCTGGGCATGGTGGCAGGTGCCTGTAATCCCAGCTACTTGGGAGGCTGAGGCAGGATAATCACTTGAACTCGGGAGATGGAGGTTGCAGTGAGCCAAGATCATGTCACTGCACTGCAGCCTGGGTGATAGCATGAGACTCCATCTCAAAAAAAAAAAAAAAAAAAAAGAAAAAGAAAACACTGCTCTCTACCACCTGGGATGCTTGTTTTTTTTTTTTTTTTTTTTTGAGATGGAGTCTTGCTCAGTGGCCCAGGCTGCAGTACGGTGGTACGATCTTGGCTCACTGCAAGCTCCGCCTCCCGGGTTCTCGCCATTCTCCTGCCTCAGCCTCCCAAGCAGCTGGGACTACAGGTGCCCGCCACTACGCCCGGCTAGTTTTTTGTATTTTTAGTAGAGACGAGGTTTCACCGTGTTAGCCAGGATGGTCTCGATCTCCTGACCTCGTGATCCACCCGTCTCGGCCTCCCAAAGTGCTGGGATTACAGGCGTGAGCCACCGTGCCCGGCAAGGGATGCTTGTTAAAATGCAGATTCCTGGGCTCCAGCCCAGGCCCACTAAATCAGAATCTCTGGTGCCTGGCTCAGGAATCTGCATTCTTAGCCCATGGTTCAGATGATTCTTATCCAGTCCACACTTTAAAAACTCAGGCTCTGGAAGCCTCAAGCTGCACAGTGTCTCAAAAGTTAAAACCAACTACAATGGTCTGGAGGGACTGAGAGGCCACAGTTAGCCCACGAGTTCAGGGGTGAGGAACACTCTCAGAGCCATTCCGGTGAGCCACACCTTTTGCAGCTTTTGGGATTCTAGACAAGTACAAACATGGACTGCATTTTACTGCCTCTAGCCAAAAATCTTATGCAGTCATGTAGCACATAACAACACTTTAGTCAATGGCAGACTGCATATATGATAGTGGTCCTACCATAGAAAGGTGGCGGTACCTTTTCTATGTTTAGATACATTTAGATACACAAATACATATCATTGTGTTACAATTGCCTTGTATTCAGTACAGGAACGTGCTGTATACGTTTGCAGCCTGGGAGCAACAGGCTGTACCACACAGGCTAGGTGTGTAGTCGGCTGTGCCATCTAGGTTTGTGTAAGTACACTCTATGATGCTCACACAATGATGAAATCGCCTAGCGGCACACTTCTCAGAAGGCATCCCTGTCGTTAAGAGACGCATGATTGTATATGCATGTCTCATCAAAACAACAATAGAAAACTCTGGGAAGTGGGGAGAAGGGAGTGTTGGAGAATGAGATGAAATTTCTTGGCCTCATTCTAAAAAAGTAAAAGCGTATTCCCTGTAATGACAGCTGTTAAAATGTCCCATTTCTTATCCCTGTGATTGGAAACAAACACCAAAAAAACTGGAGAGAAAAAGGTCATGAAGATCCTTCTTAGTGGGCAGCTTTGAACAACAAGCAAACATAAAGCTGGGGCATTAGAAGGAACCCAAATTAGAATGGAAAACCAGACAAGCTAAGTCACTGTGCTTGGGCTGTTTAGGCTCCCAGAGGAGGATCAGTAACTACAGATAGCAGATCCAGCAATGGGCTCATCATGAACTGCAGGTACCTCGGGAAAGACATAAAACACAAGGACCAAAAGAACGCACACTCCCCGGGCCTCATTTCCACACTTGAAAGATGAGGGGGTTCCCAGGGCACTCTCCACCTTGAGGAACCCACGATTTCAACACCACTGTCGAATGTCACTGGATGTGAAGAGTGCAGAGGAAAGCATGGGGTAAGAGCTCCAGTCCAGAAGGTACGATTCACTTTGCTTTCTCTGCCTTGTCTAAGACAGAGCTGGCTCAATGATTTCCAAAGACCATCTGCGGCCAGAGTATTTCCAGAATCTCTGGACAGTCACTTGGTGGGACAGGGTGCTGGGACTGAAACTGCGTTTGCAGCAGCAATTTATAATCGAGTGAGAAAAGGCCAAACATCTATTGGGTCAATATTCATGGCTCTTGCTATTATTTCTAGTTCTCCTTTCCTTCCAGGCATGTGGCAGGATTGTCCATCCCCACTGCTTTTGGGTAACGCAGAAACACGGAACCTGCTTTACCTGATAAAATGGGATTGGAAGGGATGTGAGTTGCTTCAGGAGGAAGGCACTTGAGAGAGGAGGTGAGAATTGCTGGGTTTTCTCCTCCCCTGCAGCAACAA